CACGCAAATGCAAAGGACAGAATGGGCACCGCCCATTCTCCCAAGACTCCTTGCCATGGCTCAGCACAGGAGCCATACCATGGGCCCTAAGTACCGCCTTTCTGTCAAGATATGGCCATGGGCCAAAATCCGAATCGTACCCCCAGTGAACATCCCAATCCCCACAAAATAGACTAAATGGGTGGTGCACCTACCCCAAAATGGTACCATTGGTGTTGACCCACGGCCATATCTGTCTCAGGAGAAAAACGAGACGCCGGCCACCCGGCCAAAAACCTCAGCCAACCCCGAGCCATCAAAAGGCCACCGCCTCCGTCATGTACTTCTTCTTGAACTCACAGCCCTTGAGGACAATGCCTCGCTCTTTCAGGGCCTGGCAGAAAAGGAGGAAAAGTTGAATTTTGCTAAGATAAACAAGACAACTCCTGGAATAGTTAGCTTCCTTCTCAAAAGGGACACTGCTCTTCTGGTTGCACTGAGTTCGGGAAAGCCCCAGCGGGCTCCGTTTGGTTTAAGCGCTGCACAGGCACAAAGCCCGTGGGACAAACCCCTCGCTTTGCACAAAGCGGCCCAAGCGTTGCATCCTGTTTCTGCACACTGGACACGATCAACCCTCCAACTACAAAAAACAGCGAGCAACCCTGTGTCGTATCAGTCGGGTGCCTCTAAAGCAAGCAAGTAATTTCTTGGAGACCTCTCTCAAAGATCATGAGTTGTGTGTCACAAGCAGGCAAGCAAGCAAGCAAGCAAGCAAGCAAGCAAGCAAGCAAGCAAGCAAGCAAGCAAGCAAGCAAGCAAGCAAGCAAGCAAGCAAGCAAGCAAGCAAGCAAGCAAGCAAGCAAGCAAGCAAGCAAGCAAGCAAGCAAGCAAGCAAGCAAGCAAGCAAGCAAGCAAGCAAGCAAGCAAGCAAATAAGCAAAACACACACACACACACACGAACATGTATCCGGTCTCTGCCCGGCCTCACCCACCTTTTGGGTGACAAAGACCGCCGGCAGCTCCGGCGGCACATCGTCCTCAGCACCTCGGGCGGTCGGTCAGGGTGTTGAATGGGGGCTCCTCCCAAAACGGCGGAAGCAAACACAGGGACTCTGAAGAAATTACCGTGCAAGTTTCCGGGGCCAGATTTGTTTTCAAGGAGGGTCTGCTTTTCTTCGTTGAAATCACCTAGTGTCTTTTTGCTTTGAGGTTCATGAATCAGCCAATGTGCAAAATATGACAGAGGTGACACTGAAGACAACGCTGGAACTCCAAACACCACTGGCACGTCCAAGGCATGAGTTGCTGAGTTGCAACTCGTTCACGTTCTGGGCTGGGTAGATGGGTAGAGGCGTGCTAGCTTGGCGTTCAGCCGCTCCACAAAACAAATGTTGAGGTCTGCTCATAGTGGAGCTTGCTATTTAGAAGTCATTGTTGACACCTGTCACAATGGTCAAAACTACATCTAGTCATTGTTGGACACCTTTGTGCCTAGAGCCGGCAGAAGAGATGATGCAAGACTGAGAATCATACAAATCACCGACAGGATCAGCATCCGTCGCCGGGCAGGGATTGATGAACCCAGATCTCGTCGTCCCAGGCCGACCTTATGTTCAGGTTGTAGTTCTGCAGGATCAACTCTCTCCGAAGATCATCCTGAGGTCGCTGAACTGACAGAACTAAGAACTTCTATTTCGTCCATGCGAAGCCATCCATCACAATGCTCTCCGCCGCTTCCACGTCCAGGGAGAGGTAATGGTGGATGGAGCATTGTAGGTATCCGGTGCCCCAGAGATACTGCACGTAATTCTTGCGAAAATGGCTTCTCTGTCTGGTCAAAACCGATGCCTCCATGGACTCCCCTCCATGTTGAAGACATTGCATCTTCACCTATCTCATGCGGCAGTGTAGCATAAATGTGTGGAAGTGAGGCTGATTGAAAGCAAAGAACCTGATTGAGTCGACGGTCTCTACGGTCTGTTGTGCAACCTGCAACATCTCTGGGCTCCTGGCTTGCCGCCAGCTTCTCCAAAGAGAGCGCCTAGCCAACCCGCAGGGCTCACAATCACTGGACTCCAGCAAAACGAACGCGCAACCCATTGCTTCTCAATTGGCTGTGGGTCAGGGGTAGGTGCCCGACGTGGGACCCTGGTAAGAGGAAACATGGACCAAAACCTGCGGTCCGATTCCTGGTGGTGAATAAAAAATCGGGTCGAGATTTAATTTAGGATTGTTTTTTGTTTTCTTTTGTTTTGTTGTTGTTCCGTTCTGGCCAGTAAAATGCTGTATTTTACAGCAATTTCTCGCGAAATGTACGTATTTTACGCTAGTCCGTAAACATCATCAGCATCGTTTTCAACATTCCCCGCATGTCCAGCCAACATCCCCAGCATCACCAGCAAATTGAGGGGCTTCCTACATCTTCAGCATCAGTTCCTCTCCGGCAAGGTAGGTAGGCATTTATGTATGCATGCTAAAAAGAGGGGCGGGCCCCCCTCATGACGGTAAAAGTGAGGATTCAAATATGGGTGCAATCCCTGTAAAACACCTAAAACGTAGCGGGGGGGGGTTGGGGGGGGCGGCAGCGCCCCCATGATGATTGAAAAAGTGATGATTCAGTTAAAGGAGCAGCCCCCGATGATCAAAAAAGTGATGATTCAATTAAGGCCAAAAAGTCTAAAAAGCAGCGGGGGGGTTGGGAGGGGGGGGGGGCGGCAGCCCCCCCATGATGATCGAAAAAGTGATGATTCAATTAGGGGCAAAGAATCTAAAAAAGTAGCTGTCGCATGATCGTGCATTTTAATCGAAAGGGGGGTGGCGGGGGGCACCAGATAGGGATGCAGGAAGCCAGGGCCAAAAACCAACTGGGAAAGCAGAGGATGCGAACAGCCAAAGCCAGAAAGCCGCCAAGAGCCACAAAGCCAAAAAGCCACCTGCCACAGCGAAACTAGCAATGCAGAAAAAAAATCCTTTAAAACAAATGCGGAAAATGAACAAAGCATTACAAACAAAAAAAACAGGAAGAAACCAAATCCAAAAAAAAATGGCCCTCCAAAAGATTCACCCATACCCAGATTGACCAACCTGGATCGGGCCCAAGGTCCCACCCAACCCCCCCACCCCCCCACCCCCCACCCCTCACCCCCCCACCCACCCCCAACACCCAATCCCCCACCCCGCACCCGCAACCACCCTGGATCGAGCCCAAGGGCCTCGGGAAAAAAAACCATCGGATCGCCTGCTCGCAGCGGATGATGAGACCTGTGGCGCCCTGCTTCTTGGCCTGGGCCGCAGCCTGGCACGCTGACACATCCGAAGGAAACCGCCATCGGGCCATCGGGCCAGGTCTTTTTCTGTTCAACCGAAACTCCTATGCGACTTGTATGTTCAACTAGTCCATGTGTTTCATCTAAGATATCCAAGATCAGTTTGTTTCGCATTTGGGGTCTACGACGTGATCTGCTTCTGCTCTTGCTTAGCAAGAGCACTTGAAAGGGCCGGCAAACAAATCCCGTGCGGAACGAATGCGGGCGCCAAGGCCCGCCCCTTTGGGCATGTCTGACATGCGGCAAATGCGGCAAGCTCACCACACCCATTCTGAGAACATTCTGAGAACCACTATGTTTGCCCTCCTGTCCACTAATATGGAACCCACCAGATCCACTTTAAAGGACAATAGTCATACTGGACCCCGAAACCTCAGGTTCCATGAAAGTCGGGAGGGTATGTTCTTTGCCGAATCGAGTCGACTCGCGACTCTTTGGCCTTGCGAAGGTCCACACCTTCGTTTACCACCGCAACCCACCTGAGATGGCTGGCGCCACAAAGCGTGCGAGACCATGGTTGCAGTATGAAGGCGGGATGTTCACGCATCGACCATGCGAACGATGGGCCCTGATGTACAAAAAAACACATTCTATCTGTTGGCGACCAATCAGCAACGCTCTCTCCGTAAAACATGAACATACGGCATTCGAAATCATTGGCCGCTGATGCCAACGTTGCGCTTTGGGTCAGCCCGACGCCTGCGCGCCGCTTTGAAGCCACTGAGTCGCCGGCTCCTGGTTCCCCTCACCTGCGGCCTCGCATTTTGCAAAATCCATGTCTCGGGGACTCAAGATCGTCAAACGGCAAACCACGGGTTGCCAATGACATCAAACAGCCTCCCAAATGGTGAATTGAGCAGTGTTTCCGGAGCATGACAATGTGCTTTAAATCTGCATGCCTCTTTTCAACCAAACTGATCTTAAAGACTATACCAAACCACTACGTCACTACGCAAGCCTGGTGCGTGAAGCGCTTCCGCATTCCTGCCTTCGGCACCGTGTAGCCCCCCTGCTCGTTGGCCACGACCACAGCTCCCTTGAACTTGGACAGCTCCTGGAACCGGCACTCGCGAGCGAATGATTGGACCCATCCCAGCACTGGGGCAGCCCGGGGCATTGCCTGGGCGACTGCAAGGGCGAGAAAAGATACTATATGTAAATACAATGTGTATTAATATGTATGATGGTGTTATATATATTCCTACATATTATTCTGAACAACGCCCACTGCAAACTGCAAGCGGCTCCAGCAAATTCTGCTGAGGTCGAATTGTCATCCCAACTCACGCACTCCTCGTCATGAGTCCAACTGGAAGAAAGCGCATCGTAGTGCTTGACATCTGACCTCGGTTTCGTGCTGTTAGGGAGCTTCTCCACTTTCCAAAAGGTGTCGAGGCTTGAACATGGTGTGCGTTGCCTCTCGGAGAGGAAGGTACCTAACTGTCCCGATCCATGCCTAGATGATTCAGAAACATGACACCTGGCCGGTTTGCTAGTCACTGATGGCTGGAGTAGAGTCAGCTCACGATTGGCCTCATCGGGGGGTCCAAAAGGGCTTTGGCTCAAAATAGAGGAACCCGAAACTGGGTGGTGTCCTTTTGGTTTCCAAATGAAACCACCAATCAGCCTCCCTCTAATTGGTGGTTTGGATTGGTTTGGAATTTCAACCCCTGGTTCTTGTGGAAGGCACATGAGAAACCCCTGAACCACACCGGGATCCAAAGCACCAAGTACAGGGAGGCTGAACAGGGATCCTTACATTATACCCCTGAACATTGCCTTGTACATGGTGGTTTCCCTTGTCTCTTTTAAGGAGCCCTGCTGAACCAAAATGGGGGTAGAGCCCCCCCGAGCTGCGCCGGAGGTCAGGGGAGCCCTGCTTATTCCACAAGGGGGCCACCAGGAGATCCACGTCGCCCTGCGCGAGCTTTTGGTCCACTGAGTCATCAAAATGGTAGGAAAATGGTCGGACAGTCCCAGAGCCATGCTTTGAAGAATGCTCGAAGAATGAAGAAGCCGGATATCATCGGGACTATTTCTGGCTGGGTCTGCTTAACCTTCATCTACCCGAATCGGTTTTGAGCACGCGGCTCTCGGCTGGAGCTCTGTGAGCGAAGCCGGAAAGTTGAAACGGCTCAGACAGATGCAAAAGGGGGAGGGCTTCTGCCAAGTGAAACCGGCCAAATGAGGTCTGACAGGGTCCTTCTCCCGGAGGCCCCAACGGAAGATGTGCAAGAACAAAGCTTCTGGAAAAAATCACGGATAAAAGCCAAGCAAAAGCAGGAGAAAAAGAGAAATATATATATATATACGAGGGACCCCTATGTAGGGGGGAGGGGGGACCCCCACATATACATTTAAGCTGCGACCACAATCCTACCGCACCCCCCAATATACATAAAAATTCGCTTTTGCTGGGTTTAACTCCAGCTGCGCAAAAAGAAACGGCGCCCACACACAACAAGCAAATTAGGAGCCCTCCTGAAAGACGTCCCACTTCACGCAAGTGATCAGCCCGACAAGTAGGCCCTGAAAGAGACAAGCTTCGCAAAAAAAAACGGGGGCCACACACAAAAAGACAATTACAAGCCCTACAAACAAGATCTCACTTCACGAAAGCAGCAGGCCGACCCAGCCGGCCAGCGCGAGGGCCTGAAAAAAACACAGCTAGCGCAACAAAACGGCAGCCACACACAACAAGCAAATTAGACGCCCTACGCAAAAAATCAATTTTAAGAAAGCAGCAGCCCGACCAAGCAGACTAGCAAACGGCGAAATAAATCTAACCGCACAAAAAAAAATATCAAGAAACAATCAAGTGGGTTAGTGACAAGCCCGAAACAAAAACAAACTGCAAAAACACAAAGCGCAGCGACACACAACAAACAAATTAGAGGCTCTACTTGCCAACAAACAGTTGACAAAAAACAGCAGACCAGTGACAGGATCTGAAAACAAGCCGTGCACAAAAAACCCAGAAGCCCCACTAAAAACATCCCACTTGACGAAGAGCAGCAGCCCAACTAGCAGGCCCTGAAAAAGAACTTCGCAAAAAAGGCAGCCACACACAACAAGCAAATTGGAAGCCCTACTAAAAGCATCACATTTCACGAAAAGCATCAGCCCAGGCCCTAAACAAAAGCTAGCTGCAAAAACACGGCGGCAGCTACAAACAACAAGCAAATTAGAACCATTGAAGGGGCAACCGCCGAGGGGGTCATGGCCCGACCGGCGACGGGGTCGGGGCCCGACCGGCGACGCGGTCGGGGCCCGACCGCCGGCGGGGTCGGGGCCCGACCGCCGACGGGGTCGGGGCCCGACCGCCGACCACAGGCCCTGAACAACATCAATCTGCACAAAAGAAAGGCAGCCACACACAAGCGAATTAGAAGCTCTACCTTGACGAAAAGCAGCAGCCCGACCAAGCAGCCCAGTGACAGCCCTGTAAAAAATCAAGCCGCGCAAAAAAGGGCGGCAGCCACACAACAAACCAGAAGCCCGGCGAAGACATCCCACTTGCAAAAAAAAACAAGAGACCAGAAAGGCACGGGAGCAGGAGACTGAGGAACATGATTGAAACGTGTCTTGTTTTTTGATGTCCTTTGTAGCCACCTGTGTAGGTTACATTTCAGCGCCCGGTCGCAAAGGAAGCTCTGCGTGCTGTCGGGCCCCGACCCCGCCAGCAGTCGGGCCCCGACCGCCAGCAGTCGGGTCCCGACCCCGCCAGCCGACCTTTTCCTGAAGCAGGATGTTTTGAGTAGAACTTCTAATTTGCATGTTGTCTGTGGTACCGCCTTTCTTTGTCCAGCTGCATATTTGTCAGGGCCTGTCACTGGCCTACTTGTTGGGCTGATGATTTTCGTGAAGTTGGTTTTTTTCCAACAGCTGAAAGCTTTGGGGTCTCAGCCCAGATAGGCTCTGGGGTGGTCCCGGACGACCCGGAGGTGAGGTTCCACGAGCGTTCCACCAGGGTCCAATGAGGGTTTCATCAGGGTTCCACGAGGTTCTGCGAGGGGTGCGGGGTGGTGCGCGCACTAAAAAGAGCACCGCATGCTGTTGGGGATGTCACCTGAGCTTATTGATTCTCGTGAAGTGGGAGTTTTTAGCAGAGCTTCTAATTAGTTTTTTGTGTGGGGTTGCCGCCTTTCTTTGTCCAGCTTGATTTTTGTCAGGGCCGGGCTGATGATTTTCGTGAAGTTGGTTTTTTATATAAAGATTCTATTTTGTTCGCCGTGTGTTTTGTGCAGCTGGATTTTTTCAAGGCCTGGCACTGGCCTACTGGTCTGGCTAATGATGCTCGTGAAGTGGGCTTTTTAACTAGGGCTTCTAATTTGGTTGTTGCGCGTGGGCGCCAATTTGTTGTACAGTTTTTCCTGGGCCTGTCACTGGCTTGCTTGGTCGGGCTGCATTTTGTGTGCGTTGGGCGTTCTGCAATAGAGTTTCTATTTTGTGGATTGTCAGTGGCTGCCTTTTTTCGCGGCTAAAGCCATTGTTGCGTCAGGGGTCACATGTTCTTACGCCCGGCGGGCTTAAGAACAAGTAGGCACTTTAGCGAACAAGTGACCAGGTCACTTGTTCCGGTTGGCCCCCACTTGTTCTTATGCCCGCCGGGCGAAAGAACAAGTGACCCCTGAAAACGCTTGGGGCTGGGAACTAGCCAAGGCTTTTCCAGGACTTGTGGGAGCGGCGCAGTGGCAGCGTCTGATACCTACACCAAGCAGCGTATTCGCTTTGTCGAGTTACTTAATTCGTCGCACGGACGCCCGTCATCTCGATCTACAGACGGCATCACTGGCATCGCCAGCATCGCCAGCATCACCAGCAATGGCGTCTAGCTGATTCTCGCTCTGACGAATTAGCTAGTTCGTCGCACAGACACCTGTCGCCTTCATCTACGGAGTGCGTCACCGGCATTGCCAGCATTACCAGCAATGACGTCTAGCTGATTTTCGCTCTGATGAATTAGCTAATTCGTCGCGCGGACACCCGTCGCCTCGATCTACGGAGTGCATCACCGGCATCGCCAGCATCACCAGCATTATCAGCAATAAAGTCTAGCTGAGATTCGCTCTGGCGAAGTAAAGCTAATTCGCATTACCAGCAATGAAGTCTAGCTGATTTTCGCTCTGACGAATTAGCAAATTCGTCGCACGGACACCCGTCGCCTTGATCTACGGAGTGCATCACCGGCATCGCCAGCATCACCAGCATGAAGTCTAGATGATATTCGCTCTGTCGAATCAGCTAATTCGCATTACCAGCAATGAAGTCTAGCTGATTTTCGCTCTGACGAATTAGCAAATTTGTCGCGCGGACTCGATCCACACACTGGCATCAACAGCATCGCGAATCCCTGGAGCACAATGAGTGCATACGCTAAGACGCGCTGCTTGCCATCTGTTTGCTCTGCTCAAAATATTTAGAGGCACCCCTGCCCCGGTTCGATGTTCTCACGCCTCTGTGATCCCGACAGCAACGAATCCGACACTCGTCGCCCTTCCATTTCAGCTATTTCCTCGCGACGCCGGCGGCCTTCTTCAACGAATGTGTCTAAATCGCAGCCCGGCCCCGCTTCCAATGATGTGGGAAACGCTGGGACTGCTGGGCGGCACAGTCCCTTGATCAATCAGCTAGCTCTCTCCCACACAGGCTTTCACATGCAGGGGAGTTTTCGAAAGCCCGCGGCTATCGGTCTGACGTAGTGGATAGCAACGCATTGCTCCGATTGCTCTGGGTGAACCAGCTTGTTTGTCAGGATTTTGCATGCTTAGTGAGGGCTCCATGTATCTCAGAACCCACGATCGCCAAGGGGTGGTGTGGATCGACTTGAACCTTGGCCGGAGCAGGAAGTGATCACAGGGGCACAGCTGAGTTCTGTTGCGCCTCGCTTACGGCGCAAAGCTCGTGCCCTTCAGCATGGCGCTGCGACGATGCGCTTGCTTGAGCTAAACACCACTACTCTTTCGAACGAATGCTTCCTAGGGCTCATATCCGGCAGTGCGTTGATTCAGCGTCACTTGAAAGCAGTGAAAACACGTACTTTGTCTTCAGGGCGGCCCTACTCAAAGCAAAATGCAGCAAGCCCTATACGAGCGGCGGTCGTAAACCACTTAGCAAGTAGATAGGGTCCGCGTCTGTACTGCTGACTTCTTGGCACTTACTTCTCAAAGAAGAGACCGAGGTGAGCGACACGATGCCCCAGAAGACGGTGGCGTCAGCAAGACTGACAAGCTTCCACACAAGGCGCGCGGCGCTTCCCCCGTGGGTTGACTTTGAAGCGAGCTGGAAGTTTGACCCCCATCACACTTTCAAATCTTGGGCCCTCTCGGAGGCGCGTGCTTTTACACGTGTGCGATGCAGGAGCTAGAGCTGTTGAACGCCGGTGGGGGGGGGGCTAATTGGAGAGACACTTGTAGTGGGTGTTGAAGTAGGCCAGGGCCAGCCACTTGAAGCAACCTTGACAAAGTTGGCGGATATGTCCCTGGGCTTTGTCCACGTGGTCCGCGCAAAGATCAGCGCCTGTTGAGCAGCAGAGGAGTCTCACAATCAAGGAATCGGACACCAGCGCCTCCATCAAGCCCTGGCAGCACAAGATGGAGCAAGTGACAGCCCTTGACAACCACCTCAACACTCCGTACGAGTTCTAGGACATGTTTTTGGCAAAGCCCGTTCTCGGGCTGCTGCCGGAATGCGTGCTGCGGATTGCTGGCACATGGGCCTCTAGAATCGCGCAACACCTAATTTGAAAGCATTCCAACACTGAGCCGCAAACTCGCAGACCTTTCCAGGTCCATTTGCAGCCATTTGCTTCTGTCTACCTACAATTGTGCCTACCTTCCATAAGGCTGTGACTGTATATCGCTTTCTTAGGCCTCAGCCTTGGCAAAGAGCTTAAGACTCTTGGGGCGGCAAACGTGGAAAATGTATTACATACATTCCCCCCCCCCCCCACTGGGTATACATTGTGAAAGGGGTCCCCCGTATATATATCATGCGAATGCCAGGCAGCCGTGGCTCTAGCCGTCGAGCCGTCAAGCCGTCGAGCCTGGTGGAGGGCGTTCCCCAGCGGCGACAGCATCTGGTTCACCGAGCCGCTCTGGCGCAAGGCGAGCGCTCCGGACGTGAGGCGGTCACCACGAAGTCAAGGCACCGCGCCGAGGAAAACTTTGGATTCCACGGTTCTTGGTCTGAGATCTATTCCACTGGAGTTTAGGAGCTGTCCAAAAAATCCGAAAAATTGGCGCTGATCTAATCCAAACAGTTGGAGATCTATTTGGATTGCAGTGAAGTTTAGGCAAGTAGGATTTGTTTGAGCGGAGCCATGATACGTAAACCAGTAACAATGGACAAAAGTGCATCATGGAACAATTCCATCTTTGCCGTCCCCATGTGGCATAGCACGCATTCATAGACTCGCGCCGATTGAATTGTGTGTCTTATACATATATACATATAAAGTTATATCGTGTGTCAATATATGTTTGAAGTTGGCCATGTTGGCCCAACCAGCGCCATGCCCCGCAAAACGATTGACCCACTGCCAAACTTGAAGGAAACAAAGGGGCATTGGCCGGCGCCTCCATGACAAAGCCAATCTCCCGCTCCGTTGCCTCAGCATTCAACTCAATTCATTCCAGGAAACTAAGGAAAGTACAGTATCTGTGTGGCTGCTTCACCTTTGAGAATTGAGATTCCTTCCCAAAAGAGGCGGTCAACTGGGCTTAAACACCTCTGTGTCTCAATTTTGCGCTCGACGGGCAGATTGCCTTACATTCTCATATTTCATATTGAATGTCACTCTAGCCAAACATTGCGATTTCATGGAGACTCGGTCCATATGATGTTTGCCATAGCCTACAAGGAAGCAACAGAAGCAGTGCACACATGCTGGAGGGGAGAAGCCATTGCTCGTCTGTCATTGCCAATCCGTCAGCGATACTTGAAGATCCCAGCTTTGCCGTCCGCGGTGATGGCCCCGCTCATGTTGACCTGTGACGCGTCACCCACATCATGCAAGATGTTTTGGATCTGATCCGGGCATCAGCCAGCTGGCTAAGCAATACAAGGGCATACGGCGTCTTTGGTTTGTCAGCTTGCGAATGTATTCTCCTGACTTGCCCAACGCAAACATATCACTGATGTATACTGATGTCGGATTCGCCACGGACCTTGAGGTAGTTCAGATCGTCAGCTTCTCCTGTCCTGCCCGCTACAAGGCAAGGCAAGGAGCTGATGCGTGCTGCATCGGCCTGCTGTAGGGCTTCAGGCAAATGTTGGCGCCCTTTCCTGAGAAGCGTGGTGTCAAAAGGCGAGTCTGCTTGCAATTCAGAAACGCACACCGAGGCATGCCGTCCAGACAGTGGATGACAAGAGTCAGCACAAATCACTCAAGCACCTTCCAAAAGGTGTGTTTCTTGGTGGGGGGAACGAGCACTGCTCTGAGCAAGCGGCGGATGGTGAGGTCGTTGAGAGCGACCTGGCGACGCGTCTTGCTATCTCACGAGCCGGGGGGGGGGGGGGGCAACAAACGAGCCGGGCAGGCGGGTCCCATGCCCACACGCGCAATGACAAACCTGGAGCGGAAACTCCCGCAACCCATCAAACAATGGCGATGAGTTTGAAAAAAAGCGGGAGGAGAGTTGCTGGAGGGGTTGGAGCATAATTAATAACCTAACTATCAGTCTGGCCTATGAGCGCCAGGTCATTCATCTGGCCTATGAGCCTCTGTCAGGTCCTGGATGCAGTTGGACATCACTTCCGCGATCCTCTCTGAGTTGCAGACTCTTGCACCCCCGAAGCGCTGCTACCTCATTTGGCGTATGCACAAGGAAACCAGCCCAAAGCATCCCCAAGCAATAAAAGGTTCCTACACGCGCACAATCATACACACGCGCGCACACACACCCAGACACAAACACGCACCCGCGCAAACATGCAAAGACTGTGCCCTCCTGTTTTGCCAATGCAAATATTGGCGACGCTGCGCCGGCAAACGACATCATCATGGGAGTCCCCACGGGTGCGGGCGAAAATCCCCCCCCCACACAGAAGTGAAAACCAGCCTATGGTGTGAAATCGCGAATATCGGCTCCATCGCTGGACACATGCTCTGCCTGAGAAATGATGATCACTACCCAGTAGTGATCTTGTTCAAACCAGCCAACCCCCATCTTCCGTCCTTGCCCTGGTGGGCCGTGTCTCAGCAACCCAACGTGGAGGCACAAACACAGCAGGGGGACAGAGCGCCGAAAACAATGACCGTGCTAGTGGCTATACATTGGTGCCTAAACTGGGAGACCCCACAAGGGCTGGGCTACCAGAGGTTCCAACCTGTTCAAATCAGGGGGGTAGCTGATAAAACCAGGCTATCCTACGTCACGACCCTTATACTGCCAACCAACCAAAAACTTTCAGCTAATTCTCCCGTCGGGGCACGTGGGTGAATTTTCCGGATGTGTACCCACCAACCATTTCGGAAGGTGCCCCCCATCAAAAGGCCCAGACTAAGATGGAAGCTCCCAGGACCCCTTTGGAAGACTTGGTTCCGTTTACAGAGGCCAATTGGAGCTTCCATGTTCGTCTGAGGGAGTGTAGCTGATTTCTCTCTGATGGCTTTGTTTGCTTGCGACCAAAGGCCCCAGCTGCTCGGCGTGCTCTCCGGCACCGCACTGGCAGTCACATTCCACTGGGCTTTTTGGGCCGGACACCCCTGGCTTCCCAAGGAGGCCTGGTGGGGAAACCAAAAAGGAAACCAAAGCCTTTTGGTTCCATTCTCTGCGGAAGTCTGCGCTACAGGAATGGCAGGCTCAGAGATATCACACCGCAAGATGTATTGATGAGAAAGGTCGAAACAAAATGTTCGGTTCCATGTCATTCCCTACCTAGTATGTCCCTCTTCGTCCAACTTTCTGGCAAATGGGAGGGTTTCAATCCAAAATGTAGCATTTGCCTTCGAGTGCTGGGCATGTTTGGCGTCCGTTGCGAGGACTTGAGACGATCCCGATGGACTTTGCTCACAGGGCAAACACATCTTCAGAGCAAAATGTGTTCTCTTCTTGAATGAGTTTAGCAAGGGCATCGGTTTTTAGGTGTCAAAGGTTAGTTGCCTTTCTGTCCAGCTTGAAATCATGGTGCATTGCTCGTCCTCGAGAAGCCCTCTGTTAGCTCCTTGCCCCAGTACAGGTTTTACTTTCTGAGCGGACAGGGCAGGTCAAAGCTGCTGCAAAGCTTTGTGACATTGAAGGTTGCCTCCTCAGCTTACAGAGTTTTGTTGTTGACTGCAACACGTATGGCCTAGCCAGACAAAGGGTTTGTCTGGATATTTTTTTCCTCCCTGATGTGCAAGTGGCAGTTGGCCATTCGGCGCAAGTCTTGCGAGTACACACACACACACAAGCACACAAGCGCACAAGCACACAAGCACGCACACACACACACACACACACACACACACACACACACACACACACACACACACACACACACACACACACACAATTGCCTTCGCTCTACGCCAACAGAGGCGCACGCCCACAAGAAGTGCCTCTGCAAAAGTACTGAGTTTGCACCCTGACTAGAGTCCAACATCTGCGGATACAATGCAAAGATCCTTGCCTTTTTCATGCCATGGGATGAACTGGAATGATGCATCGCTTGGCAATGCTTTCTTTCCCACCAAGCTGAACCTTGGAGAAATCGCTTTGCCAGGGCGCAAGTCCGCCCACCCCGGCCTAGTGAGTTCGGCGGTGGGGTCTCCCGCGTGGCAGACTCGGCTTCCTGGATCCACCTGCGCATGGAGCCGCCTCTCCGCCGGGAAAAAAAAGAGAAAACAACAAAAAAACAAAAACACACACACACACACACACACATCCGTGGCGCGGGAGTCGACTCCCGCCTGGAGGAACTGGTTGTTCATGGCCTTCACGGTGACCACGTCGCCGATTCTCAGGTGCCTTTGGGGCCGAAAAAGAAACGGCGAGGCATGGCGGGACTTGCGGTGTCTGGGCTCCAGGCTGGGAATCCCAGGCATCCACCTGAAACGAATGCAGCCGACAGAAAATACCCAAACAGCAAAACAAGCTTCCTCGGCTGGCCGGTTCTCAAACCATGTAATCCTTTCATACTATTAATAAAGGTCTCCCTAATAATAAATATGTGTTTCGGAAGTCCCAAATCCGCGAATACTACTTTTAGAATAGCCAATACTAAACCAATTCTAAAGTAGGTATTTTCCTGCCCGTACTCAAATCCAGCCCCATTGGGGGGACCCCGGGGGCACGTTTCCTTTACTACGGCTGTACTACAAAGTTGCGACTTTCGAGCCAGAGCTCCGGGAGCACGTTTCCTTTACTACGGTTGTACTACAAAGTTGCGACTTTCGAGCCAGAGCTCCGGGAGCACGTTTCCTTTACTACGGCTGTACTACAAAGTTGCGACTTTCGAGCCAGAGCTCCGGGAGCACGTTTCCTTTACTACGGCTGTACTACAAAGTTGCGACTTTCGAGCCAGAGCTCCGGGAGCACGTTTCCTTTACTACGGCTGTACTACAAAGTTGCGACTTTCGAGCCAGAGCTCCGGGAGCACGTTTCCCTTTACTACGTTGTACTACAAAGTTGCGACTTTCGAGCCAGAGCTCCGGGAGCACGTTTCCTTTACTACGGCTGTACTACAAAGTTGCGACTTTCGAGCCAGAGC